GACACATCATCCAGCCTGTGGCAGAGCAGAAGAAGCGGTCGATGATGTTGATGGAATTGGTGAACTTGCAGAAGTGGGTAGCCGCTTCCGAGTTAACTTCCATCATCTTGCCAAGTGTAGCAGCCCAAAGTGGAGCATGAACCTTATGATCATGGGTCTGCTGCTGCTGCACACCAGTAGGTCGGTGAAAGATAAGAGAAGAATCAAAACTGTAGTTGAGGTCCCCCAAGACAACCACAAAGTACGAGAGGGGGTTATCAGCAGCGCGACGCAGAGCACAACCGATCTGCTCACAGACAGATTGTACCTCACCCTTGGTCAAGCCGTGATTGTGAACGTTGAAGATCACCAGCTGTGTATGCCCAAGTGCCACATCAACACGAAGCACCCTGCCTCTGACCAGAGGCACCGCACAGCTACTGACCGAAGTAGATGAGAAAGGTGGAAGAATGACGGCAACTCCCCCAGAGCCGCGGACAACCTCTCCATTATCATCTTCACAAAAGCTACTGTGAACAATGGCCGTGGAAGAAAGCCTTGTCACAAAGTCGTTCAACTCAAACCGATCTGCATGCACTTCTTGGAGAGCCAAGATGGATCGCCCAGGCTGCAGTCTGCTTAGGTAAGATAGCTTAGGCGAGGCCCTCGCCCCACCAAATTGAAGAAGAGCACGTGCATTCCAGGTCATGAATGTGAGGCTGGCTGTGATCTCTCCGCCGACCTGCCCCACTGGAAGCACAAACATACTAGTAATGGCGTCAAAGACACCACTGGGTGGCCGTCGGCGCAGCGGTGACGTTTCGGATGGCTCCCTGAAGGTCCCGACGGTCAAGGCCAAGGGCGCGGATCCCCACGTCGTTCCAAGAGATCTCAGGAGGTTCGTCACCTGGCCGTGGAACAAGACGAAGGATGTCGGTGTAGTCAGACTTGAGAACGCTCCGCTCCCGATCGACATACCACCTCCTCTGGCTGTCCATCTCCATGAAGGAAGAGCGGACCTTACGAAGGAGCATCTCGCCACGAACTTGTTTCGGCGACTTGTCGGGACCGAAGTGAAGACGGGCTGGATCAGCACCTTGAGCAGGGCACTGGAAGACCCGCCAGGCGCCGTCCGTCTTGAGGTTAGCAAGGGCCTTTTGCACCCGGCGGGAGGCCAGTCCGATCGGCCCAGAAAAGCAGACGGCAAACTTTTTTGAGGGAAGCGGCGTGAGGGCCTTGATCGTGTACGAGTCACCCTCAGAGAAGTTGAGCTCACCCATGAAAGAGTTGACCACCTCACGGACGCCAGCCAGACCGACGAGCTTGGACGAGACCACAATGACCTGCGACGGATCGATCTCGCGGTCGAAGCCAGGCGGGGCAGGTGGCCGCGAAGGTAGCTGTCGGTCCAGCTCATTCTGACGGCGAAGTTCCTCGACCTGCTTCTGTAGCTCAGCCAGCTGAGTGGCGTGGGCCTCGATGTCCCACTCGGTGTAATCGACCCGACGGCTGAGGGCATCATGCTGCTCTTGAAACTGGCGCTGCATAACATCGAACTGTGGGCGCACCGAGGCCATGACCTGCTGATCGATGGAGGTGTGCTGCGAGGAGAGCTGCTTCTGCAATGTGGCGAGCGTGACCAAGATAGGGGCGTTCGACTGCTGGACGGAGTTGGTGACGGCCGTGGTGACGATGTTGTCGAACTCACTGCGCAGCTGCAGGAATCTCGCGGAGATGTCGGCATGGTAAAAGGCCCGAGTGAAGGCGGCCTGCTCCTCCTCATCACCACAGTCAGCAGCACCACCAGCAGCAGCCTGAGCCCGCGAGAGAACGCCAGCCCCTGCCGCCGCGGCCCATGGGTCGAAGTGCCCAGCAGCGGGGCCATGCGGGGTGGCGTGCGGGTCGGGGCGCATCTCCTGCGACGGGAAGGTAGCGGCCATCTCCAGGTCTGCAGCCACTTGTGCCCGCATGGCATCATCCCACTCCTCGTGGGGCATAGCCTGAGCCCCATGGCTGGAGGCAGCACCCCGAGATGCGCCCTGTGCTGCAGGGTCGGGGCCCCGATGCGAGGCAGCAGCACCAGGAGAAGGTGGGACGTCCCAGCCAGAGCCACGAGTACGGCCAGCACGGCGAGCACGGCGAGGAGGCTCAGGGGCAGGTCCAGCGGTGCCGTGGGAGGACGGCCGAGCGCGAGCGGCACGACGAGCTCCTCGGCTGCCACCGCTCCGAGAGGCAGAGCGGCGTGGCTCCTCAGAGGAATCACGGCCACCAGAGGAGGCAAGCTCCGTATCAGCGTCATCACCACCATCGAGACGATGTGCAGCAGGGTGCGGGCGGTCGCAGATGGGAGGGCCCATGGCGCCGCAGAGCACGTCGTGGCCAAAACTGGGAGCGTGCTGGGGCGCACGACAGGGAGGTGAGAGGCGTCCTGGCCTCGGAAGGTTCGGGCCTCCCTGTCGCCTGCAACAAGGCTGAAGCCCCAGGGCAGGTTTCAACCTTGAGCCAAAATGGCTACGGAGGAGAAGGAGGAGGAGGAGGAGGAGGAGGAGGAGGAGGAGGAGGAGGAGGAGGAGGGGGGGGGCAGGAGGAGGAGGAGGGAGGAGGAGGAGGAGGAGGAGGAGGAGGAGGAGGAGGAGGAGGAGGAGGAGGAGGAGCAGGGGACTGCGAGGACTGCGATCGAAACGAGACGCCGATCCGAGGAGGGTGGTGGTGGTGGTGGTGGTGGTGGTGGTGGTGGTGGTGGTGGCCTGGGGAGGCATCGGGTGGGGCCGCGGGCACAGCCCCTTTAGCAGCGCCTCCCGTTCAGGGATGGCTGGGGTACAGCCCACCGCCTGTCTCGGGGATCCAGCAACCGCAGCGTCACGGCGCAACTCGGTCCAAGAGACCTCCGGGGGCGACCCCCCCTGGGACCTCTCCGCCTCCACCACGCAGAGCACAGGAGGGCCAGCTGCACCCTCCTCCCTTTCCCGCGGAGCGGGCTTTCCCGGAAGAGGAGAAGGCTGCAGCTGGACGCCCCTCCAGGGACCAGGTGGGAGATGGGCCGCTCCCAGGGGGGACCCGGCTGCCTCAAGTGCCGGGAGGACACCAGAAACGCGGAGTGGGGATGGGCAGTGTGAGAGCTCTCGGCTCACCTCCACCGGGGTCCCGCCCGTCCGCACCAACCCTGATGCCACCGCAGTGCCCAGCTACGAGGCGTTGAGAGAAGGCCGGAGGAGACCCTCCCCGGGGTGCGGCACCCCCGCCCCCACCCCTGCTCGGCTGAGGGGCGCGGCCCAGCCTGCGGGTAGAGGCAGGGGGGTGGAGGAAACGCCCCTCGGCGTGGGCGGGCGGCGCGCTCAGGGGCGCGCGCCCGAAGGACTCGCCCTGGGACCCGACGGCCACCACCACGAACACCGCCAGGGTCGTCGAAGGCTTAACGACTTCTGCCGTCCTTCAACTCGCGCTGGAGCGGCCGCGAATTGCTCCAACTTCCCCTGGAGATCTCTGGATCTACCTGGATCTACCCCGATTTACTTGGATGTACCTCGATTTGTCTGAATATACCTGGATTTACCTGGCCAGATCCCCATAAGTCGATCGGCGAAAAGTCGACCAGCTCTTGGGGACAGGGGCTTACATCTGCTTTAGAGTACCAAGTGGGACCTGCTCTAGAACACGAACATACCGTAGACAGCTCTACCCTTTCTTCGACCCCGCACCGCGCCGAACGCAGCGGCCACGTCGTCCATAGACGCATCCACCCCGAAGGTGTACATGGATGTCACGGCAACCGCTGTGTCCACAGACACTCTTGGCTAGGACGCGAGAGCGGTATTTGGCATCGGCCCTAGATGTTGTTCTTCTTGCCATCGGGGGAAGCCGCCGACGGCGGCGGCGGCGGCGGCGGCGCGGCGAGCGCCGTCGCGGCCATGCCGACGAGGGCCTGCCTGATCCCGTCCAGCGCGGCTCGCCAGACCTCCGAGGCCTCCACCACGGCCAGCCGCGCCTCTCTGCTGGGCAGACGTCCCCCGCGGGGGCCCAGGAGATCGCGCCGCGGCTTACCGCCCCCGCAGGGGGTCGGCGTCGCGTCGCCGCGGTGCCGAGCCCGCTCCGCTCGCTGTGGTCTCCCGGCTCTGGGCGGCATGGGCGCGGCAGGCCTTTTCACCGCCTCCAGCTCCGCCTCGGCGCCGTCGCCGTCGTCGCCGCGCCCAGGGTGGCCCACGGCATCGCGTCCTCCACCCTCAGGGTCGTGGCGTCCAGGTGGCCGCGGAACACGCTTGATGTCATCTGGGGCGGCGCCGTCGTCGTCGCCAGAGATCTCATCGTCATGGTCGCACTCGTGGTCGTGGTCGTGGTCGCGACCGAACTGTACGACTTGCGGTCGCGGTGTGGCAAGGGCTGCACGCGTGCCGGCCTCAGGGCTGTAATGCCGAGCGTGTGTCGCCGACCTCAGGGCTGTAAGGAGGAGGAGGAGGAGGAGGAGGAGGAGGAGGAGGAGGAGGAGGAGGAGGAGGAGGAGGAGGAGGAGGAGGAGGAGGAGGAGGAGGCGGAGGAGGAGGAGGAGGAGGAGGAGGGAGGAGGAGGAAGAAGAGGAGGAGGAGGAGGAGGAGGAGGAGAGGAGGAGGAGAGGAGGAGGAGGGAGGAGGAGGAGGAGGAGGAGGAGGAGGAGGAGGAGGAGGAGGAGGAGGCGGAGGAGGATCGAGCGCACCGGCGCAGCAGTGCTGCCTCGGAGGAGCAACAGGAGGAGCAGCAGCCCCAGACGTCTGCTGCCTCGTGTTTTATATTTTTTGTGTGTCCTGTGCGGGACCCCCTCGAAGCCTCGATTCCCCCAGGCCCCCCCCAGGGCCAGCGTTCCATCCCCACTGACCTTCCGACAGTTCCGCGGCCCGGCGAGGGCCCCCAGAGGCCGAGACTCACCCGAACACCTCCCGTCGTGAGCTCTCCGCGGTGCGAGGGCGCTGAGGGAGCAGCAGCAGCCGCCGCCCGAGGAGCAGCGGCAGCGGCAGCGGCAGCAGCAGGAGCTGAGCGCCCCCGGCGGGAGCCTCTTGAAGCGGCAGCCCTTGCGGGCGCGCTGCCTGCCTGCGGGGGCTGGGAGCAGCCCCCCCCCCCGCCTGTCTGGCCCGCTGCGGGAAGAGGGCGGGGAGTGGGCAGGGCCTCCTCCTCGTCCACCTCCCCCTCCTCCTGTTCTTCCTTCTCTCTTTGCCTCCCTGTTCTCCTCCTTCTCCTCCTCCTCCTTCTGCTCCTCCTCCTCTTCTTCCTCCTCCTCCTCCTCCTCCTCCTCCCACTCCTCGTCCTCCACCTCCTCCTGGTCGTTTTCCCCCCTCTCCTCCCTCCTCCACCTCCTCCTCCTCCTGCTTTTTGTCCTCTTGCCCCCCGCTCCTCCTCGTCCTCATGCTGCCCTCTTCGTCCTCCTCTTCGTCCTCCTCGTCCTCGTCGTCGTCGTCCTCCTCCTCTATCCATTACCCTTATACATACCAGACGGGCTTGTAGGGCGGGCTGGGCGTTTCGCCTGAGGCGTCCACCCTATTCGTGATCCACAAGCCTTCAACAGTCAGACGGATTGAGGGGTGATGGCTTTCGAGATGGGGCTCTCGCCTCAGCACCGCGCGCATTCGTCTAAAGTGTACAACAGTTGCAATGATGGAAGGGAGATCATTTTCAAAGTGCAGTTCTCGTCGTTCCGCCTCGCCCATTCGACTCAAAATATCTGCCACAATTGCAAACATGAATTCGGGGTCGCTCTCAGAATGGAGCTCTCGTCTAAGCGCCGTGCGCTTTCGTCTTGGGAGCTTGCAACACTTACAAAGAAAGAGGGGGGCTCGTTTGCAACATGGACTTCCCGCCTTAGCGCCGCGCGCACCCGTCTCAAGGCTTGCAGCATCTGCAAGGGTGGAGGGCGGTTCCTTTTCAAAATGGAGCTCCCGCCCTAGGCGCCGCGCGCGCTCGTCTTACACGTTTGCAGTATCTGCACGGGGTGGAGGGAGGTTCCTTTTCAAACCAGGGCTTTCGCTGGAGACCTCCTGAAACGGAGAGCCGGTAACTAGAGAAGATGTATCAGCTGCACGGATGGAGGGCGCTTCTCGCTCCAGAGCTCTCCGTGCCTACGTCCAGGTGTATGGACGTGTGCAGCACTTTCACATCTGGGGCGGCCCGTTCTCAACAAGTCGATCTCGTTGATCCTGCCATCCTGCAGGATGTGTGCCAAATAAGAATGTGCAAGGCGATTCTTTGCTCAAGCCGTGCCCTCGCGTCAATGGCATGCCAATGGGGTGTTGATATTTCAACAAGGCGCCTCTTGCTGTAAAACTGACCTGTCGGAACTTCCGAGGAGGGGGTTGGGACGGGAGGGGGTGTTCCAGCATCGTTAATGCATATTCGGTTTGCTCTGGTCCTTCTCCTCTTCCTCCTCCTCCTCCTCCTCCTCCTCCTCCTCCTCCTCCTCCTCCCCCTCCCCCGACTTCTCCCCCTCCTCCGACTTCTCCTCCTCGTCCTCCTCCTCTCCTCATCCTCCTCTTTCTCGTCGTGGCCTCCTGGCCCTCCTCCCCTTTTTCCTCGTTTGTCTGATCCTTCTCTTCGTCCTCGTCGTTTTCCCCGTTTTTTCTTCCTCCGTACATCCCCCCTACGAGTAGGAATTCGAATGGGGGCGAACGGATGGAGAAGGGTTGGAGGGTAAGGGGAATGGGACGGGGGGAGGAGGGGAATTGGGGCGATGAGGACGATATGTGGGAAGAAGGCGGGGGTGGTGTTTTGCTGTCTCCCCCAGCGGACCGATGGCGACGGGAATTAACAACTGACGAGGCGTAGGTCGCAATGCATCACACCAGGCGCAAATCATGCCATACGAAGTCTGGTGGTGCTGGTTGGGCGCCAAGGGCAACGAATACAAGTTTTGTCTGTTTTCCCCACCCAGACGTGCACGACTTGTTCCAAATGGTTCTGGCACAGCAGGGCGGATGGCCACGAGGAAACGAGGGAGATGAGGAGGAAACCGAAGCGGAGAAGGAGGATGAAGAAGAGGGGGGAGGAGGAGGATATGTGCTCCTCTGCGAGCCAGTAGGCAAGACCGAAGAGGCCAATGGGTTCGCCAGAGCTGGGACCGCGCTCTGGCGTGCGGCCCGTCTCGCCTCGACGTGGGACAACACTGCAAAGGGCCCAGGCGCCTGCACCCAGCCCTCCAGCCCCTGAGTTGGCGTTGCGACTTCGGTGGGGGGAGGGGAGGTTGCACCATGCCAGCACATTCGCCGGCCCAACAGGCCAGAGGCGTGCTAAGATCTCGGGTAACTGGTTAACAATATTTCTAGTTCGCGCGCGCGCGGGGCGGCCCCTCGGGGTCCCCTGGCGAAGAGTACCCTGGGCAAGTCCCGGGAGGAGACACTGGACCAGGCCATTTATCGATACCCCTCACGAGGATCGTGGCCACCGAAGGGGGGGGCGCAATCGACTGCCCCCCCCCGCCCCGAGAGGCCCACAAGAGCCCCCCAAGAGGCCCAGGGGGCCCCCCAAGACGCCGCCAAGGAGCCCCAAGAGACCCCCAAGAGGTCCCCAAGAGGCCCCTCAGAGGCCCTAGAGAAGGTTCCAGGGCCGGCGGAATGAGCGAAACGATTAAATAATCATACCACCCCTCTCCGAGGACTGCGAGACGCGCTCATCCTCGTTTCTGTAGTGGGGGTGGAAACCAGCCAATAGGAGCCACAAAAAACACAAAGAAATGTCACACAAAGGGTTTTGGCACCACCAACGGTGCAACGCATGTGCACCCATGTCGCTGGACTCCCGGCGATCCGACCCGGGGTTGGCGGCGACAAGATCCCAAGCTCCGCTACCAACATTACATGGTGGCTTGGCACAGCCAAACCACCATGCAACGTCAGTTTGTTCATCCGTTGACACCAACACGCGTCGCGGTAGCGGAACGCAGTAGCGCGCGAGGGCAGGCAGGGCCGGCGATGCGGCTGGCCAGCTGCCAGCGCGATTGCGGCAAAAGTGCCGAAGTCCACGTGGGATCGTTTTGGGCGTGTTATCCGGCGCAGCTGCATCGCATTGCCAGGCGCCGCGGCCTTGCGTTTGTAGCGCCAGGCCCCGCGCGCTCCTCGATGCGGGAAAACAAGCTCAACGCAAAGGAATCGCGCGTGCTCTTGTGGGGCCGGCGAAAACGACCGCACGCAAAGGAAATTCCCTTGCGCGCCGCCCGCGCTGGCAACGTAACCAGACCGTGCGCAAAGGAATTGCGCGAGACTTCGTGGCGCACAAAGGAATTACAGCACCGCCCTTTGGGTTGCGCTTTTCGCGCGCGGTGACAGCTCCGAGCTGGAAAGGAACAGGGGGCAGGGCAAGGCAAAGCAGGGGAAGAGGAGAAGGCAGAGGAGGGCGAGAAAGAAACGATAGAAGCAGCGGAAGGAATCCAGGGTGCGCGCAAGCGAAGCTAACAGTGCGCGCCGAGACAGTTGTTCGTTCGTTCGGTTGGCCGCGCGGCATGCGAATAGGAAAAAGAATTGACTGCTGCCGATGGAAGGGGCTTTTTGGGAAGGAGACTCGCGCTCTCTTCCCAGCCCCCTTTCCCGCGCCCCGTTGCGAGCGAGCGACGACATGTTCTGGCGCGCGGGCAGAAGGCTGCCAATTGCTGGTGAGCGGCCTTTCCACCCGTCGCGCGTTCCAAACAAATCGGGCCAGCTAAACGCACCTGCCGCGCAAACCGCCAGCTCCAAACGCCGACGCCACCCCGATCCCCGCATCCGCGCCAGGCGCCCTACAAACGACGCCCCCTTTTTCCCGGCGAAAAACCAATGAAACACACGCATATATATATATATATGTATATTATATATATATATATATATATATATAATATATATATATGGATATTCCCTCCCTTCTGAACTGAAAGACGGGGCAGAATGGTCTGAGCCCCGGGCGGCTTCTTGCCGCGCCTTCCTGTCCGAATTTACGCCCGCGTCTTGATTTGCGCGCGCAAAATGCGGTGCAACTATTGAGGATGCATTCTCTATCTTGGCGTGAAACAGCCGCGCGCGCAAACCCGAGCACGGCCGAAATCGGGCACGCCGCGCCGCGTCGGGCTAGAACCCGTGCGTCCTATCATGGGAAGGGTGCAAGGGTCTCGCCCGGCACCTCGCACCGTCGCCATCCTGCGTTTCCCCGGCGATGCCAGCCTGAGGACTTGAGGACCTTAACCCAAGTCCGAGCTGAAACCCATCCAACTTTTCTGTCAGGAAAACTCGCAAAACCCTTGCTAACGCGCGGCCGGCAAACAACCACCAATGGACATGCACGCTGGCGCCTTGCCAGATCGAGCCAGAAGGTCGAGGAACAAGAAGGCTTAGTCGGCCAAGGAGTCCGCGTGGAGGTTGGAGGTCATCGAGGAACTCTTGGAACCTTTGGGGAGGGCTGTGACTAACCTGAAACCAATTATCTGTCTGTTCACACAGCAGGGCCCCCCGACGCATTTTCGTATAGCGGTGTTTCCTGTGCGCTTGATGTTGAGTCGACGCGTTGCACGACTTGGTGCTGCGCCCAGCAGAGCGAGGTGGAATGGCCATAGCCTGGTGCTCCGCTGCTCGCGCAGTCAGCTGCAGCACGCCTCATGCGGGTTTTCTGGCATAGGCAACGACGTGACCTGCAGCGCCCAAGAAGACTAGCAAATCTGCCGCTCGGGAAAGTTCCTGGCTGGTGTGTCGCATGCAACAGCCGCCCACGCAATCGTGCAATTTCAAGGAAACTTAAAGAACCTCAATCCATTCATGGCTGTTCCAAACGGGTCTTGGGCTCGTCACTGGGGAGGGCCATCTTTGCCCCGGGGTCGTCCCACTTGAGCTCGTCCTGGAAGCAGCGATCCCCACTCTCGTTGGCCTCCATGAACCACTCGGGGCGGTCTCCACCGGCGCCCCCTCGAAGCTGGGCAGATTCTGGGTGATCGCATTCCCGCGCTCGATGCCCGACGTTGCCGGGTCTGGCGCATGGCGGGCGCTCGCCGTCGCTCTCGTAGCTTGCTGCCCTAGCTCTGCCTCTCGTCCAGGCGCCTCCGCAACAACGAACTAACGACATGCACTTTTCCCCGGGGGGGGGGGTT